AGAAGCTAGAGTCGCTCTCGGCTATCGCCTCGAGCGACTCTTACCCTTCTGTCGTGCTTAGCAACCTCCCGCGTGCATCTATAACTCAATAGTGTACGCTGTGGTGTTTACCATTTGTTAAATTGAGTCCTGGATGTACTTGGGAGGTTTGCGAAGCACTCAAGAGGCTAGAGTCGCTTTCGGCTATCGCCTCGCGCGACTCTTACGTGCTTAGCAACATCCCGTGTGCACCATAATTCAATAGTGTACGCTGTGGTGTTTACCATTTGTTAAATTGGGGGCTCTTAGGCTCAACCTGTTGCATTGATAAGTATATGTCATGTATCATAAATGTTTTTATATATCAGCTTGATATTCAAGGTACTTAGAGAAAAATTGTCACTTTAGCCATTTTTTTTCCAAATTTCGAGCTTAGACATCTTGAACAAATGCGTAGTTACCATCAATTTTCTCGTTGGTTTTTAGTAGCCCTTTTAGAGATCTATGTTTCTCACACAATGATCCGCCTGGAAATAATATCGCCATTATATTCCTACGGGCGCTATCCTTGAACTGAAAATTTTTTTTTGTATTACCTCGACAGGGAAAAGTAAGTAAACCTTTTTAATTAAGGGGGGACATATAATATCCTCCACCAGATTTTACCGAAGGTTACAAAATTCTGGAAGAAAGGCAGGAGACTCATCGAATGATAGGAGAATTTTAAATGAATTAAAATGTCATAGTTTCCTTCAATTATCGGACCAACTTTAGGACAAGATGTGACTGAAAACGAGCTAGACTGGTGATCTAAATTTCAATACTGATGGATAGTTTAATGAGGTATACCCTACTGCCCCTTTATATGAACTCCTACGAGTTAGAGAAAAAAAAAGCTGTATTTTTGTAAAGAGTGGAATATTTATTTGTAGTTTGTGTAACTCGTGGACCAACCACGAGATCCAGTTACAAAACGTTGTTTAGATCGTCTTTTATGTTATGTAACGTTTCATTACTGATAGCTTAACTTACACCGCGTTACAGTTTAGATAGGCAAGGAATATTCCACAGCTGTGTGATTTATTACCAAGTATTAATACAATAACTAAGTTTGGAGTGTACTTAGAATAATAGAAACGACCAATCAGTTAGCTTGAAAAAGACAATTTCAAGTATGGAAAGAGGCAAGGTTTCTAGCAACAGATTCTAACCTGCCTTCTGGTTAGAGGCTTGAGCAACCGACTATGCAATGGATTATTAACCTCCTCTTTCAAATAATATTCAATTTTAAATCCGCATTCCAGGCGGATTAGGACAAAAGTTGATAACAAAATGTCATGCTCAAAATCATAAAATATCATTTTTACAAAATTCATAAAATAGATCAATTTGGAAAAGAACCTCATAACTTAGAACGCTAATATTTTAAATTTTATATACACCAATATGAAACGATATATACACCACAAAGAATTATATAATTAGAGAACAATTAATATACACCTATGTAACAACGCGTTGGCATAGTTTACGTTATTTTTAATACACAAAATACATTCCTTTTTTACTTTACTTTCAAAAAGTGTCAAACCATTAATATGCCTAAATAGTACTACATAACTCAAACAGAAAGAGAGTCCGTCCATGTATAACCAAGAAAATGAGGTTCCACCAAGTCACTTTCGCTATTTTGGCGGCTTGTTAATTTTCTTTTGGACAATTTATTTTCAATCGACTTTTGACAAACCCTCTGAGTTACATGCGCTTTTATGGTTGATTTCTTGCGACGTTCGAAGAAACAGTGCCCACAGGCCCACCAGAAATCCTCTTCGGCGCTCTTGTGTCCATTTGCTTTACGGCGAGTGCTACTAGCCATACATCTCTTCCCAACCAACTTTAGAAGACCCGGATGCTCGGGTTGCTCCACAATATGGTGAATTGATGTTTTGCTATTGTAATACTTTGAAACCTAAGAAGAGGACATTAATTAATATCCTTTCCTTGGCAAACAAACACCGATGGTATTGCTTAAAAAACACAATGCAATTGATTGGGTCAGTTGCTGATAGTAATATGTCTACCCTGAGATGAGTGGTTGGGTTCGGAGCACAAGGTAGTATTTAACAATGGCTTGATGTCGGGTGGAGAGATAGAATGAAGGCAGTACGGCTCTGTTTTAATGCCGAGCTGATCATACCATGTTTTGTCAAAAAATGTAAACGCAAGCCAAGACGTACCAGACACAACGTTACAAAACACTTACCACGTTTCTATCTAAGACGGTGTGATCATGAAACAAAATTTTCCTGACAGCCAAGGATTCTGAACCAGGTTCGGAGTCGGTCTCAAAACTGTCAACAGAAAAGTGTTCCGATGTATTGTCTTCCTCATTTGTAAAAGAGAAGGCGTTTAATTGTCCACTCAAAGAACATGCCACTTGATTTGAAAATTCTGTGAAAGGATACAATGGCTGTAAGTTAAAATGCCTATTTACTGATCTAATACTTTGAAAGTATTTTCAAAACAAGCCAAGAAGACACATTGAAGTCAATAGGGTACTCCTTCGAAAAACTTAGCGTAAATAAATCGGATCAGTTGTTAATCCAGGGGACCAATGGGTACCACTGACGCAGAGGAACACCTTATGCTCACTGGAAGCTCATTACAAATTAAACTTCTGAATAAAAGCAAAGCTAAAAATCAAGCTAAGCAATGACGAATTTGCATAAGATTGGAGGCGCCTAAGGCCATGGGTTCCCCGAATATGCTTTTGTCCTACTCTATCTCTTCTGATACTCACGATATTTCAGTTTCGAATTAAGACTTTGACCGAAAGCCCGAACTGAAATTACTTAAAAACTCGATTGCCAATCTTTGCGTGATTCTTTTCGTTGGTTGCCTTGATTCATTCAGTGAAATAAAGAAACAGTGGAAGGGCAACTTCTCCCATCATCAATTTTATTTTTAATAAGACCCAGAGAGTTCCAAAAAAAACCCGTGAATATCGATTATCGTTGCTGAAGGAAATCATTCCACCGTATAATCAATCGATCAAATTTATTTCAATTTCTTACATCCCATTCGTCATTACCCATTCCTCACTTTCCATTTTTTCTTCACCCAACTCATTCCACATTGTTCAAATATAAAATGAGTAGGCACATGCGGACCAGTTCAAGTTGTTGGCGGAGACTCACTCCCTCCTTCTTACATACATGAAAACGTAGTGGCTAAAGCACCATGCAGTGTATTAGCCATAAAAAGGTAATGCGTAACGCCTACATTTTCACACAGGGTCTCACAAAACAAAATTAGATTAATCACGAAATTCAAACAGCAGCTGCTGACACAAAGAATGCTCGCAAATCAACCTCACTTCAATTAAGACAGTTATATTCTTAAGTTTATCCCAAAGTGAAAAACACGTTATCAACGTACTGAACATATTTTCCAGCATCTATTTGGCAATATATTTGGGACGCTAAATTGTGAAACTGACCCTATCGGTTTTCTGAAGTTGGGAATCGAACCGAAACCGTCACATGTCCTAAGAGAAAACGGATAAACATTTCTCTTCTTCTCTTTTCGCAGAGTGCTTAGAAGCAAAATAACTAAGTTATCAACAGCAAAGCCATCTTTCTTCTGTATTCTGTTACAAATGGAATATTTCAGGGGAAGGAAAGGTTCGAAAATGTTGAAGCCATTTCTGCGGTTCTCCAACGAAGTTGGAAAGCTTGCTAGCTACTGACTTAGGAAAGGATGTGCCCAAGTGTTTTTTGTTTATTTCTGTTCAATGTTTTGCTCATGCTCACAGCGTTTGTGTTTTCGTCCTTTTCCTATTTTTATTCTTTACCTCCAGTTTTCTTGATATTTTACTTGACGTTTGTAATTTGAAACAAGAAGATAACCCTGGTGGAGACTTCAAAACGAACCGAATTACAGAATTGAAAGAAAAAAGGAAGAAGAAAGGAGGTTTAAGAAAAATATTGTACAATAAAAATCAAGAAAAGTAACTGAAAACAATAAGGTCACCACAAGGGGACAAAATTTCTTGGAATGAATTGTGGAGCTCCTCATAGTTACTCATTATCTCTCCTTTTGCTCTCAATTCATGTAAATGACATTACATCAGCCATGAAACGATAATTCAGCCTCAGTTCTAGATGACACCAACATATCTAATAAAAAAAATTAATCTTAAACAGTTGATTAACACTAACAACCACTTAAGTAGCTCGTCTTCATGGTTCAAGGCTAAAGGGTTGAATGATCGTTTCAGCCATGAAACGATAATTCAGACTTTATAGATGACACCAACATATTTAATAAAAAAAAATTAACCTAAAACAGTTAATTAACACTAACAACCACTTAAGTAGCTCGTCTTCATGGTTCAAGGCTAAAGGGTTATCAAAAATAAACAAATAAAAAGGGAAAACGAAAAAAGAAGGAAATTTACTGAACGGGTAGAGCAATATAACTTTTTAGGAGCAGTGATTGATGAAAATTAAACTGGGATAGCAACAGATATACATCTGATAACCTCAAATATTTCCAAGAACATTGGGGTCATGCAAAACCTTAGCTTTTTACTTGTTCACAAAAGCTATTGATAGGTTATAATTTTTTATGCCGCTTAAGTTCACAGAGAAATAAGAAAGCCCATTGCTAATGTTACAAGTTATCCCAGGCTGTGCTTCTGATCACCATTGAGAAAAAAAAGGGAGAGTTTGCAAATGTCAATACCACACTATTAGGAGCAGCCTTATAAAACCACTCTTACATTGCAATAATGAATTATGGTTCCATCTTCTATTTGCACAGTTTGAGAGATTTTCCACGGAGACTTACATTCTGATAAAGGAAGGTGACTATCTACACATACTCAGAATTCAAACAAACACAACATTTAGCCAACCTTGTTTTATTCCATTAAAGGACCTTTCAGGAACATCACTGCTATCGCTGGGCCGGCTGAATTTTCGAAATAACCTTTGAACATTTCCACAGCTAGGCAAATCTTCAAGAGAAATCGTTGGTTGACATTAATTATAAAAAAATAGTAGGATATGACCGATATCCTACACAAATTTAATTTATCTCCTCCAGTTCCTTTAAGCAAGTATCAGTACTCCATTTTCAACAGAAAATGTTGAGCTGATGACCAGAACGAGTCCGTGATCAACAAAGTTGCTATTTTTGACCTCACATTTGTATCATCAATCGATACGGAGCGCTAATATTGAACTCTGAAAACACAGAGGGTTTGCAAGCTGTTGTGAAAGTAAACCACACCAAACGAAGTCAGACAAGGATAATTAGTCATACATGTGTTTGCAGCGCTCTTGTGTAGAAAAGATAACTACTAGGATTTGAAGCAGAGACCTTGAAATCATTATAGTAACACCCTGAGATTTCTTGATATTTGGTCCGCATTTTGCGTGCACATCAACAATCCTATTTCACAGACAAGAGTCAGTTGGCTGTTCATCTTCCCTGCATTCATTGATGATATAAAAATACCAACCTCCTTTCTTCCTCATCTTGTAACTTGCTTTGGTTGTAACTCTGAATGGCTCTGACTTAACTGCTTCTTTCAAGTCTGAACCAAACTCCATTTCTATTATCATTTCCCATTTGTTTCTTTCAATGACTTCGGCCTTCTCTAGCCAGTAGACTGGATCACCTCCTTGTGTCTTGTACACCGACCCCAGGTCTACTACAACGACTCGGAATCTGGCCTCACTCTGAACAACCTTTACATCTAGTTCCACTGGACCTAAAAAAGACACAAATACTGATATCTCAAAATGCCGCGTTTCTAAGTGAAGCACAGCTTGTCAAATGATGCCTTAAGAAGTTACAAAGGCACTTAAAGAATCTATGAAAAGATGCATAGAATACCAATTGTGTCGTGAGTCCTCCTCGCAGCCTCGTGACACCTTTGAGTGTAAGCTCGAATACTGGAGATCTCATCAGAAGCTTGGACAATCACAGTTACTTCTGAGTCGTCCAGGCGATATTCAAATCCTTCTTTAGTTTTCTTCGTCTTTTTGTCGTAGACGTCTTTGAGACCCACGATCTGAACTTCCACTTCAACTTCATAAGCCTTCTTTGGGACACTGTTTGTCTCTTGCTCTAAAAGATTTCAGTTGAGATATTTTCGACCAATGATATTTATTAACTTGTTTTTAAACTAATAACCCATTCACACCAAAGCTGAAACACGTTATAAAGCTGTTTTCTTCAACACGTTTTGTAATTTCTTTCGTTACAGAAATTCCTTAAACTTATGTTTTTATTCTTCTCGGATAAGGACGATAAACCATAGGCCTCTTCTCCTACATCTTATCTGGTTATTGGTTAGCAGGGTACGTGAAAGAACTTACGCACTTCTCGCAAAGAGTAGGACGTAGCTTCCACTGTCGCGGTCAGGCCTCATTTCCGAAAAGTTGGGGTACATGTCAAAATCTCCTGTCAAACAAAAACTGTTAACTGCTCATCGCAGCCTAGCTACAGTTGTTGTAAGAGCATATTCCTGTGGAGATTGCACTATATAAATGCCACATCACCATGTTCGTCGACTGCGAATTTAGCCGAATAGTAAAAATACAAGTTAGTCGGTTAAATTGAGCCCTTAGTTAAATTTTTTATTTTCTTTCGCTGATCTCCAATCATTTAAGCCTAGTTTTCGTAACCACACGTTCTACTGTGTGGGTGGACTGCTCAAGTTGGAAATGGCGCTGTTTTGACTGAAATATTGATAAGTATCATGTATATTTAAGACAGAGTCTAATTAGCACAGAGTGTTGTTTGAGATCCGAATTTTAGCTTCTGACTTCTCATAAAAAGAATCGCTATAGCAAAAATCAGATAACGAAGGTAAAATCCGCTAAAATCAGGTAAAAAGAGAAACTAAAGGCGGCGGGCTTAAACGTGTAAATCGATCATTCCTTAAACCGCCTGCTGGTGACTAACAATGCCTTCGATACCCGCGCCTACAACTGTGACACCCAAGTAAAGTTTCGGCTCACCTAATAACTCGTCCCCCGCTTCACGAAACAAGGAGCTTATGCTGTAAAGTTCTTCGACTGTAACTGACTCTGAAATATGACTCACTGGAGGGAATCCTAGTTCGGACTGGATAAATTCGTCAATATCGCTGAGTCTATCTTCCAAGGTTGCATCGATCTTCCGATCCATTTGGCAAAACTGGATGCTCCTGTTGTTCTTGCAATACAGCAATGATACGATTTAAGAGCAAATTCAACTGAACTTCCTGTAGAAACTTTTAAGTAAGGCATCTAGACAGAGGAAGTCACGCCGAACCAATAGTAAACACGCTTTACTTCCGATTCGAGGGGGGGCGGGTATTAACTTTTCAATTGGCCTCTTACGCAAACTTTGTTGCGGAAGAAAAAGAAAACCCGCCGACGACAGGCGATTTTACACTACAATACTAGACGTGTGCATACGTTCACACGCACTTTTTTAAGTTACGAGAGCTACGTGACGACAAGTTACGATGCAGGACAATACATTTGTTTCTGATACTCAGCAAAGTAATTCAAACCGACTTTTTAAATAGAATATTCATATTTGCATTCGGTGTAACGAAAACTGTGTTCACTGCCACGTACATTAAAGGAGTCTTGCACGCACAAAGGAAAAAAATGGTAAGAACCAAGGAGCTACAGTCTAGGACCTTAATTATCCTATGTTCCTAATGACCCGTCGGAGAACCTATGAGGTATAACTACTAAGCGTTCGAAAATATTGTTAGGGAGACCATTTGGAAGGGTACTCTAGCATTATTCTTGTATAGACGGAACTGAAATTATACTATCGTCTTGGTCGAAAGGAAAATCCGGCTCTTTCTTCTTTTCGCTCGTCTCATGAATCTCCAGATTATTTAACAGGAACTCTAAAGTGAAAAAGTGGTATTCTGAACGACAGTTTCATCAATTTCAGGAAATGTGTATTGCGAAATTTAACATTCACATGATTCTTGTTTAGAAAGCGTTGACCCGCGATTGTGCAATCACAGAGAGGAAGTTTAAGGTCACGCGACTCCTCGGCCGGAAACAGTGAATGTTGTCACGATAGCTCTTGGCTAAGTAATGTACGTTATCACATTTGATTTCTCTCGAAGATGTCACTGAAATTTTAGCGGCCTTCTTTTTAAGATACGCATAAAGATCGCAAGCAAAGCAATTGCCATTTTTGCTTAAAAGCCGGTTTGTCTTAACGAAAAGATGGAACCACGACTAGGAAAATATGGATCGATATCTTCATATCAAGCGATGCCTCGAACGAAAAAAAGCCACACGACCAAAAAAATAAACTTTGTCTATGCACTTAAACCGATTATCATCAACACTGTTTATTTGTGTCTGTTCTATTCTCGTCTCCTAATCCAAAGACGCCAAACCGCTCTGATGTGTCAAATTTCATTTATTTTTACCTTCACGATTATCACCATTCAACTAATATTTCCTTTAAACCATAGATAACCATCGATCGTCTGAGTATCACATAATATCATTCGCAATCAACGAAGACCTACCTCACCAGCATTTCGAAATATTCTTGAGGAAGATTGGTTTTAAAAGTTTGCGCTTTGTTTGGATGGGCGAGTAGGAACAAGCGCTAGAAGCCTTCACAAAAGGGGGTAGTTTTTTAACAATGTTTACGTTTGAGAGTGGAGATGCAAGTGCCGAGATGTTGCTCAGAAGCCTATGGCTTTGACTCACTGGTACCTATCTCATTCTAAAATCTTCGCGCTTAACAATCTTCGTAAGCTGTTATTTGTACACCCTCTTCAAATAAAGTTGACTTCAAATTTGCGTATGTAACTTTGTAGTTATTTCTTAGATTCAAGTCTGGTTTGCTTATCATCGAGATTGTCCCAGTCTTTCAAAATACAGGCTCAAACGAGGCTCAATATCACTATGGACCCCGGGACGATCGGGAACACAACGATCATACGGATAGAACTGAGTTTGTGCATTAGTCCGAGCCTCCATAGGATCGCCCAGATCCTCACAATCGTCACGAAAACTACGGCGATCTACAGAAATTGAGTCGCTAAATAAGAATTTATCTCCCAATAGTCTTTTCCTATTGACTTTCAAGCCAATAAGTCTACATGAATACTCTTGGTATTATCAAAAACACAAAAACAAATGCTTCAAATGCTTACGAATATAAATATCGTAATTAAGAGTCCGGAAATCGTAATTTAAAAGATCACAAGACAAACGAGTCGTACGCCGAGGGTTATAGTTTTAGCTCGCACACATTATTGATAAGTCTCAAAACTCAAGTTTCCTGAAAACCATAATTTTTTAAAGTTTATTTAAAACAATTGAAAGCAACTTCTCCGAAAAGAGTTAATGGTATCGACCAACAATTGTCTTTGATCAACGTCAGTTGAAATATAGATAATATACTTCTAGATGTCACGTACTAAAATCCATATGCGACTTTGGCCTTATGCCAACACACAACACGGGACCTTTACAGCCCATTGAACCTTTTATTGAACCTTTCATTGAACCCTATATCCGTCTCTCGAATTTCTCTGTGATTTCCGAACTTCCTATCAGCAAAAATGTGCAAAGTCAAAAAGCACATTACGTGAGATCTTGCAGCAAAGGTATTTCGTGGTGTGCAAGTTAAAGAATAAACCAGATTGGGGAGAAATAATAGGTGAATCCTTGAAGCCCTAACATGATAGATTAATTTATAGAAATTAATCAGCAGTTGCCAGTGAATGAATGTCAAAGTTATAACTAAGGCAACATCAAGTTCGACGCCTTGTCACGTTCAGGGGAGGGTATTGCAAAAACTGTCATAGTTTCGGAATAAGTGGAGACCCTGCTTCACAAACTGACACCACTAAAAACACAAATATTTTGAAACACAGCCGTAGCTGGAGGAAAAACAGGTAAAGAAAGAAACCGTTACTAGCATCCTCCGCCAATGAAAGTGAAAGGTCCTTCATCGTTTCGAAAAGGTTGACAGCCTACCTTTCCAGGTTTCGGCACGTTTTTTTGGCACTGTTTTTCTTCTTGTTTTATTGAATACAACTCGTCCCAATATTTACAGTCGCAACAACTTTCTTGAACGAGATGTGCAAGGTGTATAAAGAAAGCTTATTTAGCCATTTGAAAAAAAACATATATCCCTTTACGCGGAATACTAACAAGAGGGTTACAGTTGACAGAATAAGAGTGAAGTTCAATGATATTGAAAGTTAATAAACACATTTTCGACCGGGCGTTTGATTGTTAGGTCAAGTCCAAAATGTTAAAAAAAACCATAAACAAAGTAATTACGTAAGTACAAGAATTATTTTGGACATACAAACCATACTACTTCAATAACAAAAGCAACATGGATAATTCCAGAACTAGCACAGGCAGGCCAAGCTCTCTTTGAGAACCACACAAGGAACACAATTTGCATATCGATTTATAAGGATTTGTATGGGATTTTCTACAAGACAGCCATAGAGATAGTTAAAAGTGAAAATATTAAATAAAAATGGCTTACTTTATTCCATACGTGTATTGCTTGCTCCTGATGTCGTTATTTTACCGATTTCACTTGATTTAAGCGGTTTTTTTTAATCCTGGTATTCTCTTCTTAAAGAGAAGACTTTTTAAGAAGAGAAAACCAGGATTAAAAAAAACCGCTTAAATCCATTGAAATCGGTAAAATAACGACACCAGGAGCAAGCAACACACGTATGGAATAAAGTAAGCCATTTTTATTTAATATTTTCACTTTTAACTATCTCTATGGCTATCTTGTAGAAAATCCCATACAAATCCTTACAAATCGATATGCAAATTGTGTTCCTTGTGTGGTTCTCAATGAGAGCTTGGGCCGCCTGTGGAACTAGCTGTTATTGGGTTGATTTTAGCCTCTCCTCTTCTGCTCGATATAAATTTTAAGTTACGCCTTTCAGGACAGCTCACACCTATCGTAGATAAGAAAAATTATGGCAAACCTTATTTACTAACAGTTCAAATCCGTCAATGTTTACGCCTGGCGGCCAAGTTTTAAGCCGAAAGGATAACCCCATTGAAATCCCTTGAGACAGACAGTCTGGATGAATTTAAACTTAGAAATAATAGGTGAATCGCTTTTCTGGCTAAATAAGGCTACACTCTCAGTTGTTTAGCTAGAAATTTTGTGTTAACGTATTATAAACGAGAATCAAGATAATGAAACTTCACTAACAGAAAAATAACAGCATAAAGGCAGTCGCTGTCACAGAAAATGACACTGGTGTGTATAATGTGACCAAACACTTAAAAGCATTGAGTAAAATCAGTGTCCGAGAAAGGGAAGTTGACACTTGACAAAAATAGAAACACTTTGTGACACTTTAGAGACAACTCGGCGTCACGCGGTGTAATTGACACGTGAAATACGTAAACACTATCGGGAGAACACGTGCCCTTAACAAGCTTCACCATGGGTTCAAACAATCCGTCTGGGCACACGAAGCACCATAGAATCCACAGCAGTTTGGATGCTATTTACTGCGGCACCTGGACAATTTTAGCCCAAAATGAACTCCTCAAGACCCATTTCCGAAAAAAATTATCCATCCGCGCTCCTCTTTCTCTACCCCATGTGTCTCTCTCGCTTTGTTCTCCGATTTCATTACGTGCGAAGTTAAGATTTCGCTTTCATTTCAACAAAACTAAAGCGGAAGTAAACAAAGGTACTTTCCCAGAAAATAAACCAAAAAGATGCAAGTCAGAGACCTCTGCCCGCTGACAAAATTTCGCTTTCAACAAGGGTACCTTGACGATTTTCTTAGCTTCACTTAAGTTAAACCTGATCACCGAGAAACATTGGCATTTTCGAAACTCAGCCGAACCATACGTCGTTCAAAGAAGTTTTTTTCTCAGGCTTCGACAGGAATTTTACATTCAAATATCCTGGTCGCGAGATACAATGAGTTCTGATTTAGAAGGTTGTTTCTTAGAAGCAGTTCTCAACGGCGACCAAGGTAAGCATTTGACTCAGATATAAAATTTATCGCTCAGTCCATTGCTTACTTAACATAATAAAATTAAGCCTTTCCCTTACACTATGTAAACGATCGTCAACAACCGAGTATTTTGAAATGGTGGGGAGCGTTTTTCAACCATAGCAGAGCAAAGACCTCACAGGTTATTCCACAGGTTATACAGTCATCAAAATATTAGCAACACTGATAAAGAAGTAATTCCGAGAACTGCTTTTGAAACACGTCGTCTAGAAGTGAGTTGGCCAACCGAAAAATCTCTTTCACTCAAAGCGCACGAAAAGTGCTAGATATGGATACTTCCGTCTTCAGACTTCTCTCACTTACATCACACGCTGTCCTGCAGAACTTGAGTTTTAGTTATTTCTCTTTCTAAAATACTTGAGGTTTACTTTTTGAATTACAGTGCTCTTTTAAAAGAACATGCCCGACATGTTCAAAATTGCAAATTTTATACAGCAAACGATGGTAATAAAGATACATGTGTGATATTGATTTAATCATAACTGATCGGTACAAAGGTAAAGAAAGCCAACGTGTATTAAGGAAATATATCAAAATGCCTCCACGTGATTCTCAAGTTATTCATCACTGAATTCACGTCAATGGTTACATGTCCTATCCCATCTAGAAAATGCACCCAGTGATGTCTACGAGCCACTACTGCCTGATTACTTCGCAATCAGCCAACAAGAATTACCTGATATTCAAGTTAAGTTGTCTGACCTGAAAGATATCTATGACAAAGTTCAGAAAAAGGTGGCACATACATCAGAACAGCGTATAGAAAAAGGATGGGTAAATGGTGTTGCCTGGTCAACTGGTCAAATAAAGAGTATCACAGTAATAGTTCAGCGCACTCCTGAGGCAGCAGCAAGAGTCAATGATACAGTAGGTTGGTAACTGCAAGAATAGCAAATTCCATTCATGAATATAGCATAGGTTTGTTTGACACTCGAGGTAAATATATGGAAGCTTTCTTCCATAAATCAGCAATGGGATGCAATTGGAAAAAGCCCTATCAGTTGCTTGTGCACCGGGAATATCGCTAAAGGCAAATTTATCAGTAAATCAAGTCACTTGGGACTTTATTCTAAGTAAAAACAATTATGAAGGCTTTTATACACCTGTATATTTTTTCTCTGGCTTTTTAAGTGATATATAAATTCTTACATCAAAAATCAATTACATAGACTTTCTAAATGCCAATATCACTAAACCAGAAGGCAGATATGACACGAATGGTGCATTAAGAGTTGATATTTTGAAACTGTATTACTGAACATTTGGATTAATAATTTACTCTCCCACATGGGATACATAATTGCCTATCATGGCCTAGAGAACAGAAAAAAGATAAATATATATAAAACCCTTGTATCTTTAACTGACTACCACAAATTGGTTAAATTTCAACAGGGCCTGTGGAGCTTAAAGTTATTTACAAGGAGTATGGAATACACTCTGTAAATTTTTCTTTTGACCTGGACTCTGCTTACAAGAATTCAAATGGAGACCTTGTCTACGAGCTTGCCAGGGTTGAAATGGATCTAAGAAATGTATGGCAGCTTATCGTCACTGTACATCTAATTGATGGCTCACAGAGAAATTTTACTTGGAAAGGGTTTCGCATCAGAACAAAACCAAAACCATCAAAATGTACTGCAGGTACTAGCTCAAAGTAAAGAGAGGTGGTTAATGTTTCCAGCTTTAAAGCAAATGACATAACAAGAGAACAACATAACATGAATTAATACTAAGACAGTTATACTAATTTTGAGAAAGATGATTGTTTTCTGTCTAGTTACAATAATGGAATTTACCATCTTTCTTATTCTGTTTTTGTACTGATTTTATGATTTTATTTGCAAGTTTTTTCATTTTAAAGCACTTCAGTTAAAAGGATTTAAAAATTCACATATAATAGCTATATATGGTACATGCATAATACATCCACTACAAATTAAAAGCAAATTAATTTTGTCTACTCTATAGTGTAACATGGCAACATGGCTTCATTTACATTTTCAGAAATGTAAATAGCACAATTATGTAACAGGCATAAAGGAGTCTAATTATTACAATATTGTCTGTTGTGCAGTTATATCACAGTTAAGCACATTTTATTTTTTTAGATGGTAGAAGAGATGTTGAGAATACCAATAAAAGGAAGAGATTGGAGCCAGGTACATTTAAGCTAATAAGCTAATAACTATGGCAAAGAACTACATAATAATTGTTAAATGTTTATCTTGGATAGATCATTCCTCACAAGCTTTTCCCTAATAGAATTGATTTTTTTTTAAATTTGAATCACACCAACATTTAGAATTTATATCTAGACAATTATATCGTGTATGTCATCCATACCTGGGACATTATAGTCGGTCAGTGCAGCCAACTGGGTTTTTGGACAATGGTAAAGTCTGTTTATGAGCCTAGTGGCCCATTAGGCCAGTGCTTAACTCCAGTTTCTGTAGCATGAAGCGACTAGGAGTATTTCTACTCCCCCCTGGATGGGATGCCAGTCCATCACAGGGTTACCCCCAGCATTAAATTGCCGATACCCATTTATACACCTGGGTGAAGAGAGGCACTGTGAGAGTAAAGTGTCTTGCCTAAGAACACAACCCAATGTCCCGGCTGGGCACGAACCTGGACCACTCGATCTGGAGTCGAGCACACTAACCATGAGGCCACTGCGCCTCCACTTTTTTTTTTTTGGACAATACATAGCCAATTTTATCTTTAGTTACAAATGCAGTATTTATTTCACACAGAAAAAAAAAGTATATATTACAAAATTAAAAGAAAGTTTTAGCATACAGTATTCACCCTCAAATATTAACTCAGCAGGAAAGGAAAACTGTACACTCAAGACAAACACGATCACAACTTGTTTTGTAAGTCTGACCATGATGCCCTATCCAATATACCACACAAACCTCCAAATATGAGTGCTTGTGAAACCACTGCCCACTGAACCATCACACAAACTCTGCAGCCCACAGATAGATAAATGGGTTCTAGCTGCACTTTTAAGGAAGAAGAGAGAAGAAGGAAAGAAGAATTAAGGTGCCTCCCTTACCTCCCCCCCTATCATTCCTCACCACCCCATCATAATTAAGAAAGTCTCCCGTGTATAGCATGCATAGCTTGCCTATGTTCTTCATGTAAATTCCTTTGTTTACACCTTCAGATCAATTTTTAAGTGGTTCAGCTGCAAGTCCTTCTACTGATTCACTAAATTCAGGTACTGCAAGTCACACTGTATGGCACCTAAGTTACCTTTAGTTTGTAATATGGACTCACTTTAACGAGTTTTTATTCAAGCATGAGTAGTGTTAAGAGCCAAGTTAAAGTGTATTTATTTAGCATTTGAGACCATATGCAGCCTTGCTTGACAGACGACCTTTAAAAAAAAACTTTTTAATGGTCTTCACCAACTCAAATAGATGTAATGCTTCATTTCCTTTTGTTGTGGCACAGGTAGGAGCGTAAAGCATGAAATAAGGTGACTTGTTCCTTTTTTCCCAATTTGTATAGCTAAGTGATCCAGTTCCTTAAATACTTATTACCAAATTATTACTATATTAATTTATCAGATGCTGACAGCTTCCCTGGTAAACTGACAGCTCAAATGGACAAAAATAGTAAGTACAATGGCTTTAATTTCATTCTTGTATGTTTCAAGACTTAATAAAAACGAACAGCTAGACCAACAGCAACTGAGTTTGTGTTCTAGTCTGTCATATAGAAATAGTATCATAAAAAGTAAATATAAAAAGACAAAAATTGGAGAGACATCGGTTTACACACCCTGAAAATATTATAAAAGATTGATTTTGATGTGAAGGACAATGTTAGGGACAGTGAGAATCTTTTCTCAGCTGAAAAGGGCTTTACAACCTTCTGGAAATCAAGTACTTAACAAGGGTGAGAATTAATGAAAATAAATTTATCCAATGAAGGAAAAAAACTGTTCATTACCTTCAAAGAGGTTTCTCAGCAGCAGTAAGGGCTGGCAGGCATGTTCAAATCTTTATTCAGAGTGTCCGAAGATCAGCTTGTCACCTTTATTTCACTATAATCAACACCACACAAAAGTGTCTAACTTTTAAAGCATATAGATCCCATGTGTTTCTGTTCTGAAAGGCACAGCTGAGCACATCACTCAAGTTCTTACCACAGTTTGATGTCTTCTGTGTCTATTACTGTACAGACCCAATTAAAGTAACATATAATGGTTTTGTTTTTCTTTTATTCAAAAGCAAAAGGTTGTTAATGGTGATGTCATCTATGTCTCTGACCCCTACTGGATCATAAGAACCAATCAAAATGTGTGCATTACTCATCTTATCATAAAATATCATACTCACTGAGTTTGAAGAAAATATTATCAAGTTAACTGACTTAGTACAATTTCATGACTAAGTTGTTACGCCAGCTGTGTTGTTACCAAATTTGGATGAGTTAATGTTTGGTCTAAAAAATATCACAAAAATGTCACAGTGTCACCCTTTTTATAAAATCAGTTTTGGGTATTTCAATCACCTACACCCCTAGAAGACAAGTAAAGGGTTAATACAGCAAGGATTATGACTTAATCCTTAGTCATTCAGCATCATCTCTGCAATCTTCTACACAATGTGTGTATTGTTTATGTACTGCCTTGAGTTTCTGACTCAAATAACCAGTTCTGTAAATCTTTGAATCCTATTTCCAGCATAGGTTTTCAACTAAAATGAAGGTGAATAATCATTCAAAATATTCTCTCTCGTTTCAATAATTATTCTCTCTTTGGTCGAAGGATGCAAACTATTTACAATGATTATTCCTAAGTGATCTACTGTGAAGAACAAATATTGTGAACTCCTTGTTATTTGTGAAACCAATAAGTCTCTAGAATTTTTGCTGGTTCTATTCAAATCATGTCGAAATTTATAAAGATACATTTGGCATAACTTTGCGCTCAGTCAAGGATACAAAGCACGGAAAGGCTACAAAGTCAAAGCTCCATATTTGTGTGAAACGTACTTGAATTCAGTTTTTCGTATTTCATTATGCATTAATGGCAAAGACAATATTGATTGCCTTTGGGACTCATAACGGCTTTGTTAATTGTATGGAATTATTAAGGAAATCGTTCCCTTTCTCAAATAGCAAGAAGGTCATAAGCTTATGTTGGCGCGCCGAGAAAACGTTTGCGTTCATATTTCAGCACTGAGATAACCTTCCTTTGCCGCCAGAGGGTCTCTTGTGTTTTCGATCTCTTTTTCGACGTGAACTCAACCTTGTGTGGTTCGACCTTGGATATCATACCTGAGGTCATGTTTTGAATATGTTTAAGACTGTCTTATTTGACCGTCGCCTCAGGAATATCGTCTTTACCCCAATTAACCTAGTTTTCACGTTTAAAAGAGAGAAAAATAGAAAAGAGATGATATTTGTGGATGTATTCATTGCAAACGTATACTGACAGGTGTACTTCCGACGTATTAACAGACGGCCTGTCAAGAGCTGTGCACAGAGAGCTGAGTAGCAACCGCGTCAAGGTTGCCAATTTTCCCCCACTTTTAGCACCGTAGTTACTAAAACAAGGAATGACCTATAATGACCTACAATGATCTACAATGACCTACAGTGAGCTACAATGGGCTACAATGAGCTACAATGAGTTACCGTGGGAACGAGGAATGACCTAAAATGACCCACAATGACCTACAAT